ATGGTGCTTTACCGCCCCTCTGCAAAAACAAGAAGGAGCTCATCGTGGGGCGCGTCACGCAGAACCTGCGAGAATCCAAGGCTATGGTGGTGGTGCCATATGCCGGGGTTTGGAGCTCTACGCGAGTGCGGTGGTCTCCGGGGAGCTTCCCCGCTGAGACAGTGTCCTGCCTCTTCAGAGAGGTGTCTTTGGGGCCGAACGGCACTCTTCGCTACGCGGACCTTTCTGCGGTTGAGCATGGAGGTTATTCTTTGGGCGCCTCGCCCATAGTAGTGCCTCAGAGGTCATCGACCCGGACGCACCTCCGGACCGAGCCGAGGAACCGTTAGCAGCTCCTGCAGCAGCCGTTGCCACAGCACGGAGGCCACCCAGACCGAGGAGTCCTCCTCGGATCTCTCCTTACCGACAGTCCTCCATCGCCCGCTCCGAGTCGCGAGGTCGAGTTCGCAAACGCGACAAGGAAGACGACACTCATCGCGAAGGGGAGGCTCGCCGTAAGTCTAGGGTGAAGGACTCGAAAAGGGTCCGAAAAGAGGAGGACGAGCGAACCGCGTCCATCCTCGCCGCTATGGACAGCGGAAAACCAGAGGCCGAGGCCGAGTTGGAGAATGCAGTTATAGCGAAGCTCAGGCTCGCATTCAGAAGGGCGAGCGACCCCTTGTTGCTCTCGGCTTACTTCCGGGCAATTGCTGTCCGAGACCAGGAGCAACGCCGGGAACGCAAGGAGCGCGAGCGCAAGGAGAAGCCAAAGTCTCCGCGGGCATCTCCTGCGAGTGACACGGCTGCGGCCAAGCCTGCAGCTCCTGCAGCTGTGGCTTCGCCAGCGCCTATTCGGGGTCCCGTGATTCCGAAGGCGGCTTTACAGGTGCCTCGTGCTGCTTCGCCAAGGCCGCGTGCGGCCACTCCAATAATTCCTCGAAACGCGCCGCAGTTTCCACGGGCAGGTCCACCTGGAGGGCGAGCGCCCTCTACCATCCGCCCGAGACCAGCACGAGCGACGAGCACTCCTGCTCGGCCCGCTCAAGCTGCTGCGCCAAAGGCAGGAAGTATATGGACAGCCGCGCCTATTCCCCCAAGGCCGGGTGGTGCGGTGATTCCGCGTGCCGCGGTACGCCCTGCCAGCACTCCGCGGCGGGCTGCCGCTGCGGTGCAACCTGCCAGAGCTTCCGGACGCTTTCGCCCGAAGCCAAGGCGAAAGTGCTCTCCTCAAAGGCGGCGTCGATCTGCAAAGCCAAGCCTCCAGCGGAGGCAGCGCCTGCGGCTGCGGATCCTCAAGATGCCGACGAGGAGGAGTACGTCGCTGTGGAGGTGGAGGCGGAGGAGCCCATCGCGGAGCCTAAAACCCCACCTCAGGGGAAGGCTCCTGCACCTGAAGGGAAGGCTCCCGAGCCTAAGCGGTACCCGTTACCGCCACCGGATGCGGCACCGGTCCGAGAGGACCGAGGGCGCGCTCAGAAGCGACCCGCTTCACCGCGCCGCTCTCCTTCCGATTCTCGCGATCGTCGAAGGAGGCGCCGGAGTCGCAGCAAAAGCCGACACCGAGTGTCGCGACGCTACGCCTCAGAGCCGCCCCGGCGTGGTGCGAAGGCTAGCCTAGCTGACCGTCGGCACCGGTCTGATCCCACAGCAGACCGGTCTCGCTCTCCCCGTCGGCCCAAGGGCCAAAAGGGTCGGGGAAAAGCAGGTCGGGGAAGCCCTCGGCCTCGGGCTACTCCTGCCATAAGCCCGCTGTAGCTGCGTCCCAGCCAGCGGTGCCGATGCCTGCCCCACACCGGAACCACCTGTTCCGTTTACGCCAGACCAATGCTGGGAGTCGGCGGGCTACAGCCCGGAGCAGTGGTGCTCATTCTTGAATGAGGCTGCCCATTCCGCCTATATTTTGGCGCTGGAAGAGCACAATCGTGCTCTCTCCGAATCCGCTGCCGCGGCCGTTGCCGCGAAGGCTGCATCAAAGCAGCCCTCGGCCGCCAGCGGGGGGTCTGCAAGTGCAGATCCTAAGAGTTCGGCGAAGCCACGCTCGTCGAATCCTTGGCGCCAGCAAGGTAGACAGGGCGCGGGGGCAAAACAGCGGAAGCGGGAGAAACGAGCCGAGTGGCTCGCAAAAAAGCAGGCTCAATGGGCAAACGCAGCCCCAGCAGCGGCCAGAGATCCCCCAGCGGACAGGCAGCTGCGCCTGCTGATCCAGTGCCGGCAGCCGCCCCTGCCGAAGCAGGGCAGGCTGATGTTCCTGCAGCTAATCCCGCTGATGCCCCTGCCGAGCCTGTCGCGCTCGAGGAAGTTCCTCCTGCAGATGAAAACCTCCCCGATGCCGGAGCCGACGCCGTGGCCAATGCCGGGAATGTCGTGCCCCAGGTCATGGCGGTGGCAGACGAGAGTGAAGCCCACGCAGGGCTTGAGGGAGCAGATGAGGAGCCTCCTGACGAGCTCGAGGAGTTCGAAGAGGAGGAGGAGGAGGATGAGAGCGACGCTCTCCCTCGCAGGCTGCTCCTGCTGCTCCTGCGCTTGATCCGGCTGCTGAGCTGGCAGCTCAGGCGCTTCGCATGTCCGGCATCGAGCCGGCGCACCCCGCGATCCCAAACGCTGCCGCTCTCAATGACGGTCTCCTTAGGGCGACCCAGAGAGCAGCCCGTGCAGCTGAAACGGGAAATGCAGCTGCGAGCGCAGAAGAGGCCTCCGGTGCCGATGCACCGACGGATGCCCCTTCTGAGACCGCGGACGAAAACGCGCGTCTTGATGCTCGCGAGGCTGAACTCCTCGCTGAGGCAGAAGGTCATCCTCCTGCCGAGGTTGAGGCAGTTCCGCAGCCAGCTGCTGCGAGTGGCGCTGCTCCGAGTGCCCCGCCCGCCAAGGCGCCCCCGCCCCACCTGCGGGGCACCACGGCCGGCGAAGAAGCCCAGGAAGGGCGCGGCGCACGAGCGCCCTGCGACGAAGCAGGCGATGGCCCTGTTTCAGGGCCGCTCGTCGCAGGAGGCGCCACAGTCGCGACCGTTGTCGCGTTGCTAGACGCGTACCATATGGTGCCACGCCCAAGAGGTAGTGGCGGCGGTCGCTGATGAAGTTGCCTTCGCGACTTCGTCAGCCATCCGTTTAGGAGCCGTGGCCATTGCCACGTTGATCCTAGCGGCCACTGCTGCAGCCTTGGTGGGTGTGCGGTGGACTCTTTCTGCAAAGAGTCGTCTGTTTCAATCCGGCTTTAACGCCGAGGGCAACGCTGCTGCAGCCGCTCTTCAATCCGCCGACGCCGCGCAGCCTCCTACTGCCGCTGATGCCTGGAGGCCGGATTCCCGAACTCCCTTAAGCCTCGTGAGAGTGGGTTTGAGATTAGGAGATTTAGTGAGGGATGAGCGGAGGGAGAGTGCTGCATATGTGCGGTCCTTGGTGGACCAAGCACAGGCCGAACGAAGATCTGTTCGAGTATATGGGTTGAACGCAGCCGGTCGAGCTCTGCTGCATCAAGAATGCGCATCTAGGCGCCTGAGCCACGTGAC